ACAATGAACAAAGGGAGAAAGGACTTCTAGGCTAGCTGGGGCTACACGATAGAGACCCTGTCTCAAAAACCCCCCCCCCCCCAAAAAAAAAGTAGACTATGAAGCGTTCCTTCTTAATGAATGACAATATCACACTATAACATACCAACAGAACTTTAGCAGCATTTCACCAGATTCATCAAGAAAGTCTTCAATGGGAAATGTCAACTCCAGCAGTATTTTACAGTATTTTAAGTGCTGTAGTCTTTGAAATTAGATAAACAAAAACATGTAATTCCCTTAAGCTCTGCAGTTGCTATATATATAATTAGGCAGTGAGCTAAATGTGGCGGCAGGAATGAAGGTCAGTAGAACTGGCGGAGCTGGTATGCACACATGGATTCTTGGTTTTTTCTTTAATTTTTATTTTATGTGCACGAGTGTGTTGCCTGCATGTATGTAAGTAAGTGAACCTGTGTTGTGCAATGCCCGTGTCATGCAATGTCCACGGAGATCAAAAGGCGGCATTGGATCTCCTGGAACTGCAGTTATGGATGGTTGTTAGCCACTATGTGGGTGCTGAGGATCTAATCTGGGTTCTCTCCAAGAGCTGCTGAGGATCTAATCTGGGTCCTCTCCAAGAGCTGCTGAACCATCTCTCCAGTCCCTAGATTCCTGATTTTTAAAGATATTAACCTTTCTGCTAAAAATATACCTGGCCAAATTTTAGATTTTAAAAAAAAGTCTTCACTTTTGGCAAGTCTTAAACGTAGCCAAAGATACAGAAATATATTCTGACATGGAACACAGATTTAAAGGTTTTCTCCTTTGTTGAGAATCATGGCTCACATCCAGGAGGATGAGGTGAAAGAAATCACAAGTTTCAAGGCCAGCAGGAATTACACAGTGAGAACCAAGCCAGCCTGAGATATAAGACCTTGTCTCAAAAGTAAAACAAATCAAATTCTTCTTTCGTAAGAGTTTGTGAGGAGAAATGGGAGGAAATGAAAGTTATGTATAACAAATTCAGCCACACATTGGCAGGGAGGATCCTTGCCTTTACAATGACCTGTATTGTCATACAGGAACTTATTCTAAAAGGTACTGGTATCAGTTGTTAACAGACAGAAGACATATGAGCATCTAAGATATTTTCTTAAACTCAATCAAACTTCTAAAATTTTATACTTATTAACAACCAACTCTTAGATATTCACCAACAGCAAGCAGCAGGGAAATGGATTAGAGTTTAGGAATTCCAAGGGGAAAAAAAGGATTAAGCCCCCCAATTGTTATATCAGCAATACTATCAAGCAATTTCATTGGTATAGATCCCTCTTTGCTACAAAATAAAACTAAATGCTTAAAACTGCCACTTTAATAGAATCAATAGCTTTCCAGTTATCTTCAAACTACGTTCCAAGTTATTTAAACATACCCAAAGTGCCTACAAGGTATTTCATATTTAAAAGTAAAAACTACCTTAAAAAGGTTCATGTTTTAACTTTAGGTTTCCCAAATGTTCCTTATTCATTAACTAGAACTTGGTCTCGACTACGGGGCTTATTCCTCTCAAACAAGACCCAGATGGCGAGCACCCAGCTGCCAATGAGCAAGAGCATGGCTTGGAATTAAGCACTGATCCTGCGATCCAATCAAAGTTTGGCTAAGGCATTTACGCATTTATAGAGATGTGTCTTACTGGCTTGCTCATCCCTGGACAGCATTAGGAATGCTCCCCAGGTTATCATTTTCAAAACACAGTATATACTCAAAAAGTTACGAATTCAAAATGGGCATCGAACCATCCTTCTTAAATCTCAATGAGTAAAAACCAAACAAAAACAATGAACAAATAAACTAAAGGAAAGGATCCAACTACATGTAGATTTTACCTTTAAATGCGTATTAAATTATCTACATAGCCAGGTTGCTTCCCAGAGTCAGTGCTTATCTGGAGCACACTAAGCTTCAGAAACCAAGTGCTTATCACTGGAAAAGCAAGAATATAATTTGAAAGGAGGTATTTGTAGCATCTCTAATTATGGGTGTCCACAACCAAGGTCTTAAATGATTGCCAGATACTAGTGATTTCAGATGGGAAAGCCTTATGTAACCACCCTGCCTGCCTCAGAAAGAAGCAGGGGCACAGAAAGTCATGAAAGCAGCTTAAGCACCTACCAGCATACAGCGTAGAATAGCGCCAAGACCCAAGACAAACTTACATGGTAACTTACATGGCGGTGGGGACAAGCCATTTCGATTTAAAGTGCCCCCCATTAACACAAAGTTCATCTCCTCAGCTGAACACTGAAAGACTTCAACATATCTGTCCTTCATGGTTTTTTTATGGTACTTCTGTGCAGCCATAAATGCTCTGTCTGCAGACTTCATCTGGATAAAGGCATCTCCTGATGGGCGTCCCTGAGTACATGGGGGAAGAATAGAAACAAAAGGAGACTGTCTCCTTCAACAAGGAAATAAATGGTTTCTTACAAAACATGCAAAGTAACAATCACCCATGGTACTGACACATTTAGCCACAAAATCTGGGTGACAGTGTGATCCACTGAAATCTGATTTCCGTTTCATTACCTAATCACCAGAATTACCCACAAATCTTCAAGAAAAGGTTTTGAGAGCTCGTGGTTGAAAGCAATCCTTTTTGGTTGCTGTTAAATTAATATCATATTCACAGGATTTTGAAAAGGTCTCCTTGTGACTGTAGTTTCAAAAGACAGGATTATATATGGAGATTTTTTCCCCCTTCTGAAAAATCCGATTAAGAACCACTTCATTGAGAAAAGCTAGTTATGTACCCTCCCCTACAGGAAACTAAACAAACCCATGCTCGTTTTTAGCTCCTGGTCTGGGTCCCTCTCAGACCTGCCACATCCTCTTTTTGCTTGTCCCTCAGCTTAGGGGTGGGGGTAAGGAAGGCCTGGAGATGGGTGGCTATATAGCTGAACCATCTGCCTTGCAGAGACGCCAATCTCCCACACACCCTCACACATCCACCTTAAACTGCTCAAATACATGCTCAGAGACAGTTTGTACTTATAGTTAGTTAAAATTCTCCCCTTTAAGGGCAAGCCTCTAGGTTTTTGTTCCACAGATCTAAAATACCTTGCTAATATTTTACATGAATATTTTGGGCAGGAGAAAAGGATACAACCGGCTTATAGAACTACTTAAAGTTTGTTTTACATAGGTGGGTGTGGTGGTGCATGCCTTTAGTCCCAACACTAAAGGTAGATCTCTGTAAGTTCAAGGCCAGCCTGGTCTATATATCAAGTTCCAGACCAGCTGGGGCTACAGGGAGACCCTGTCTCAAAAATACCAAAAAAATAAAAATAAAAAAGTTTGTTTTACAAGCCTCTTAGGAAATATTCAATACAAATTGAATATTCCATGCCAGAAGAGGTGGCACACGCCTTCATTCCCAGCAGAGGCAGGTGGATCTCTGTAAGATGGGAGGCCAGCCTGTTCTACATAGTGAGTTCCAGGCCAGGTGGGGCTACAAGAAGACCCTGTCTCAAAAAGACCAAAAAAAAAAAAACAAAACCCAAAAACCACCACCAAATTATTACCATGCAAGTTACCATACTAAGGAAATTAGCAACAAAACCTATCCAAGATGGAAACCTGTATCTTCCAGGTAGCTAAGAGCTTGTCAATCATTGATAGAAGCATTTTTCTCTAGTGCAATGAAAACAAGTGGTCAAGGTCCTATGGGAGGCAAATCTGTCTACTGTTGTCAAAGTAATAGCTTCAAGGTTATTAGAAAACGGTGACTTGAAAGAAGTAATTCCCCGGTGATACCGACTGAAGGGTAATTCTATTTCAAAGAACTCCCTACCAGTGAAGCATGCTAGAGTTGTCAGATTCAAAAGGTATGTGGCTTCATGAAGTAAACGTTACTATTGGCATGTGCTAGGTTAGAAGACTACGCAAGGGCTCAAGAAGCTTGCTGTTGCCTTGTACCCAGTAATACATGCCTCCTAGTAAGGTAGTAGCATGGTTATAAAAATAATTCTCCATGTGAAAAAAAGAAATGGGAAATCAATAGTCAGGAAAACAATTTACTATTTCTATTATAAACCTGTATTCAATTCATAATCTAAAAACACTTTTGTCTTCCAAAATTACATAATTTTGCTTTTAACAAAGAATTCCAAAATTTTTAAGTTAGTTCTAGTTGGCTTATTAGTATCTGGAGTACAGGTGCTGGAACTATTGAGTACCTAATAGGATTAATTCTGTTTAATCAAAAATCAAGTGGCACCAACCTAGGAAATACTTCCTGACATACTGGAAGAATTCAGTTGGCCTTTGAGAAAGAGCTCTCAGCAATTATTCTTTAATGCAACTGAATTTAAAGTAACTCATTTGTAAAGTCTGTGAAGACAAAATATATCAGAACACAGGCATGCTCATTTGCTTCTGTATAGACGGTGACTGCTTTCACGCCACAACTGCAGAGTTGCACAGTGGCTCCAACAGGAAAATGTTGTATGTACTCATAATATATGCAATTCCGAGCTGATGCTTTGATTATGAGATAGAGTTCTGTGATCCTAGAATCAAAGCTGAATTTCATTTTCTCATACTAGCAGTAACCTCCTATTACAGTACATCCTAAAGACTTCGTATATTTAAAACTAAATCTTTTCTTAGCCTTATGTAAAACTTAAGAAAATTTTACTCTTTTATTATCATCAGAAACAATAAGCTTTCCAATAAAAACATCTTACCTGGTGATTCAATACCATGTGAACACCATGTGTTCGAATATCTGTAGAAAACTCCCCCAGGAAGTCCAAGATGTCCTCTATTGTGGCAGCATAGGGAAGACCTCGAAGACGTATACAGTCTCTTACATTGGTAGGGGGCACAAATTGCTGAGGTAGTACTGGAATAATGGGTGGGGTTGGAAGTGGAATAAGAGGGGCTGAGGAGAATCGATTCAGCACCTGAGCAAAAAGCAAACAGAAGTGAGTCAGACTCTTGCTACACCTATGCTGTCTATAGACCAGTACTAGATGGCTCAGGATCCTGTTCAAAATGCAGATTTTCTGGGGGATGGAGAACGTATCAGTTTAGAGCACATTTTAACACAAGGAAGTTCCTGAGTTAAATGAAGTCATGTCTCTACCACAGAAGTATTACAGAATATGAATCTGCTAAACAGGATCCTTGAGTAATTTATAAGCCAAATAAACTTTGAGAAGCAGTGATGAAGGGATCATGCATTTCCATTCTCAAAATGTGACATTCACTTCTATCAAATATGTAAGATAAGGCCAGGTGTGGTGGTGCATGCCTGTAATCCCAGCACTCAGAAGGTGGAGGCAAGAGGATTTCCCATTAGTTTGAGGCTAGTCTGCTCTGTATACAGAGTTCCATGACAGCCACAGTAAGACCCTGTCTTTAAAAAAACAAAAAACTAAAAACTGAGGCATACACTCTACAGAATACAATGAACTTACTATTGAGGCAGTGCCTATCTGGGTAAATGTATCACTACCTACCCTGGAACTGTATATAAAAAAATACAGACACACTGTTAGATGTGAACTTTTGTGGTAATTTATTCTATTTCATTGAATATACAGTATTCCCTTAATATTATCTTCACACTGCCACTCCAAAACCAGGGGGGGGGGAATCAAGAAAATGGCCTTATAAAGGGACCATTTGGCAAATAATTATTCTGAATAACATTAAAACATAATGCCACATAGAAACACAAAGAAAAACAAGACACAAAATGATAAACAGTAATTTAGCTCCCACATGAATTTAAGGCATTATCATGACAGATAATCTTCGGTATCTTGTAGATCAAGTGAATATCATCTGCCCAGAGAATGGAGGAGAGATCAGAGACATTTTGAAAATACGATCTAAGCAAGACCCACAAGTTTTTTTGTCCATTTTTGACTTTATAACATGCCAAGTACTTTAAGCTGGTCCCTGTGCAAATGCCCTTGTGGCATCCCCACATTTACCATGAAATCTAAGCATTACAGCCTTTGAAATTATTTACTTCCTTTTGTTTACATGCTATCTCAAATTCTGAAGCAATCAATCATAAATTGATCAAAGTGTTACAAGTACTTTTATGTAGAAATTTATCATAAGACAGCAAATCAAATGTACCATAGCAGAAGTTCCAAATCAATAATACTTCAGTGAGACATTAATTTCAAGATGTCAAAATTTAGGTCAAAAAGACATTAAATGGTGGTTTTAAAATAAAACAGGGAAATAAAAAATTTAAATGTATATATTTGGTTTTAAAATAAGGTAACAGTTACTACCTACTGGGTATGAGATCACATTTATTTTTTGGTGGTGTTTTTGTGTGTATGTGTTTTTTTGACAGGGTCTCCCTGTAGCCCCAGCTGACCTGGAACTCGCTATAGACCAGGCTGGCCTTGAACTCAGAGAGATCCACCTGCCTCTGCCTCCCAAGTGCTGCACCATGACCAGGCGTGCACCAGCACACCTGGCTTTTTTTTTTTGGTCTTTTTGAGACAGGGTCTCCCTGTAGTCCCAACTGACCTAGAACTCAATATGTAGATCAAGCTGGCCTAGAACTCAGATCTGCCTGCCTCTGTCTCTCAGGATTTATTTATTTTTATTTTATGTGTATCAGTGTTATGCCTGCATGCGTGTAAGTGCAGTGGTGTCTGCAGAGAACAGAAGAGGGTGTTAGATTTCTTGGAAATAGAGTTAGACTGTTAGCCACCATGTGGGTGCTGGGATCTGAACCCAGGTCTTTTGCAACAGCAGCCAGGGCTCTTGATCTCTGAGCCAGCTCTCCAGCCCCTCTTCAAGTTTTAATATTGTGAGTAGGGTTGTTATTAAAGATAAAGAGGAGAACTTAGCAAATATTAAATATGACAATATATGCAAAATTCCTCAGTACTACCCATTATTATTGCTGTTGCTTTTTAACATATATATTTTGAGAGAGGGTCATGCTACATAGGCCAGGCTGGCCTTAAACTTATGTTTTTCCACAGCATCTCAAGAGCTGGGACTATAGGTGTGCACTACCAAACCATTTTAAAATATTTTTATTAATTTCTTTCCTACATCTATTTAATTTCTGTTTAGGAAGTATCTACTAAGTAAACCTTAGTGCCGCAACTTAATAAAAGAAAAAATTTAAGGCAAAGGTTTTAATAGGCTCTCAAAAACAAACCTGCTGAACTTCAGCTGCTGTGCTCCTGAAGAGTTCAATGTATCTTTTACCCAGTAAGTCCTTATGTTTCCTCAATGCATTCTGTGCATATTCCTCACAAGCGAAGAGTACAAATGCATCCCCTGTTGGCCTACCATCCGGGTAGGTGACAAAGAGGATGCCTTCCTTTCCCCCAGTGATAGGGCAATGCTGTCCAAAGAAAGTCACCACTTCTTCAGCTGTAGCTGTGAAAGGCAGCCCCCTCATCCGCACAATGACTTGATTTTCCTTGGAGAGAAACTGGGCTACCTCATTGGATGTCCCTAGAGAAAATGATTAGAAAACATGGGGAGAAAAGTTACTAACTTAACCAAATTTAAGATGGGAAAATTCCTGGCTCACTGTGTGTGTGAGACAGAGAGAGAGTGTTTGTGTGTGCATGCACACACACGCTGCTGGGAATCAAACCCAGCACCTTAGCCTGCTAAGTGCTCTACCATTCAGTCACAGCCTCAGCATCCAAGATCCACCCTCCTACTGAATTCATGATGGTTCATGAGGTAACACCTACACTAGGACTCAGAATTCTCGGCCCCTAACATCTTTATAAAGCACCTCTCTTAGCTCAGGAAGCTGGCCAGACAGGTCAGAGAGCATCCACCCATTCTCATGGAGTTGTACTAAGTTACTAGACTAATTAAAGGCATACTGGTCCTAGGTGGGGATGAAGCTCAGTGGTAGAGTTCTTGTCTACGGCATAAGGCTTTGAGCTTAATGTCCAGCCACACAAGAACAAAAAGGAACAAATCCTAGATCCAAAATGACTGGTCTAGCCTTAGCTATTCTGGGCATGACTTTGTTCAAGCCTTAGTTTCCACATCTGTAAAAAACAACCAATTCATAAACTATGAGAATAAAGAAGGCTAAAACCTCTACAGTATACTGTTTGTTATTTCCTCATTACTTATTTTATGTGAATGTTTTGCGTAGAAGTACATAAGTGCATCTGTGTCTGCAATGCCTGTGGAGGTCAGAAGAGGGTATCAGACCCCTCAGACCCCCTACAACTGGAGTTATAGATGCTTGTTAGCAGCCATATGACTGGTGGGACTCAAACCCGGGTCCTCTGCAAGAGCAGACAGTGCTGTTAACCACTAAGCCATCTCTCCAGCCCTTCCGTATTACTTTTAATGGAAGTTTCTTAAGAATATAATGAATACAAGCCCAGCGTGGTCGTGCATGCCTGTAGCCCCAGCACCCAGGAGGCAGAGGCAGGTGGATCTCTGTGAGTTTGAGGCCAGCCTGGTCTACATAGTGAGTTCCAGGACAGCTGGGACTACAGGGAGACGTCTCAAAAAGACCAAAAAAAAAAAAAAAGAATATAATGAATACACACAGTTGCAATATTTGTCAACATTCTGAATAAACTAAAGCATCTTCTACAGCAGTACTATATAGGAAATGCATATCCTGCAAACACACACTAGCAACACTTTCTCTTAATTGAAAATTCTTATCACACTACTCAAATAGAATAAAATCCAGGCAACAATGTGTATTATTAAATATCCCCAATTTCCAATGTGTTTACCATGAAACCCCAGGATCCTGTTAAGTCCTCAGTAACTGCATACACTGTTGTTACCACCAATATTAACTACTACTTTGGAACGTCAGAAATATACTAGAAAACTGAAGTAAAAATATTCCTGTAGAAAATAAGATCGACAACTGAAAAAGATTCACCAGTACTGTATTATGCACGGATACAAATGTTCTCTTTATTTAAATGAACTCACTAGTATAATCTGACACTTTGCTAGAAGTCTATTTAAAAGGTATACATACAAAGCTGGGCGTGGTGGTGCATGCCTTTAATCCCAGCACTCGGGAGGCAGAGGCAGGCGGATCTCTGTGAGTTCAAGGCCAGCCTGGTCTACATAGTGAGTTTCAGGACAGCTGGGGCTACAGGGAGACCCTGTCTCAAAAAGACCAAAAAAACAAATAAATAAAAAAATAAAAATAAAATATTTACAAAGGTCTACAATTCTTAGACTAAGCTATCCTATGTTTAGAGATTTGCCCCAAAGAGCAGTACATACAAAGATACAAAAATATTCACTGCTCTAAGTTCAGTAAGGATGTACATAAACATGGTACAAATGATATTTATAATTAACAATCAAAACACTTAACATGAGATGTTCACAACATATTAAAACAAATGAAGAAATAAAACAAGCAACCTGAACAGAACCAAAGAAATTTACAAAATAGAGGTATAAAAACAATAAAAATCAGCCAGCCTGACAGAATGGCTATTTAAAAAAAAAAAAGTACTCCAAGGTTAAAGCAGAATTGCCTAGAGGCCACCCTGATTCACATAAGTTCCAGGCCAGCCTAAGCTACCATCTCAGAAAAAAAAAATCAAATGAGAAAAATCAAAATCAAAAAACAGAGAAATGAGTTATTTTTCTGTATCATTCTTTGGTTTTGGGGTTATAACTCGCTCAAAAACTATCTGAAGAGTTAATACCATCAAGATAAGTTATATACAGGTAGGAAAACATATGAAATGCATCATTTGCTTTACATTATATGCTAATGAATAGTTGGAAACTTGAAAAATTTAAAAACTTATGTTTCAGCCAGGCACATGTCTTTTAATCCTAGCATTCAGAAGGTAGAGACAGGATGATCTCTGTGAGACTGAGGCCAGCATGGTCTACATAGGAAGTTCTAGGCCATCTGGGGCTACAAGCAGACCTTGTCTCAAAAAAAAAAAAAAAAAGCAAAAAAAGGTTTAGTTATTTTGTGGGGTTAAGAGCACTGGCTGTCCTTACAAATGAATTAGGTTTGGTTCTCAGCAACCACAGGGTGGCTAACAACTGTAACTCCAGTTCCAAGGGATCCAACCCTCTCTTCTGGCCTCTGTAGGCATTGCATGCATGGGTGCACTTAGATATTTGCACGCAAAACACTCATAGGGCTGGAGAGATGACTCAGCGGTTAAGAACACTGGTTGTTCTTGCAGAAGACCTGGGTTCGAATCCCAGCACCCACATGGCAGCTAACAACTGTCCATAACTCCAGTCCCAAGGGATCCGACAGCCTCTTCTGACTTCCTAGGGCATTTCGTGACACAGGTACAGTTATCTACAAGCAGGCAATATGCATACACATAAAATGAAAATAAAATTTAAAAAACAAAAACCACTCATAAACAAAAAATTGAAAGCAACTAAATAAAAAAAGCCCAAACCTGTATTTCTTCTTCTAACCACATTTGTGTAAATACTACATACCCAAAAATACTAGATTGGGGCTGGTGAGGTATCTCAATAGATAAAAAGCACTTGTAGCACAAATGTAATGATGTGAATTTGATCCTCAGAACACACATAATCGTCGAAGGGGAGAACCAACTCCATAGTTATCCTAACCTCCACGTCACTGTGACAGCTGCATACACACAATACATACAATAATTTTTTTAAAACTGCCAAAAACACAAGAGACTAAGTATACAAAACTTTAGGTTGTTATTAAGGAAAACCATATTACATGAAAGGTACTCACCACCAGCAATTTTCAGAAAATCTTCACCTGTTGCTTTGTAAACCTAATAAAATAGAGACGTGAAAACAGTTTCTAAGCATTCTGTTAGGTGCTAATATGCCACTGAAGAGGTCAAGTGTGTCTGGCTGTGAACACGTACCTCAATATACCGAGTCCCCATGTGATGTTTGTGCCTCTGCAGGGCTAAGTCTCTGTGCTCCTCACTTACAAACCTAACCAACGCTTCTCCATTCCTTCGCCCCTGAGCATTCAGACAAAGTGCTGCACCTCCCCTTTAAAAGTAACAAAACATGGTAGGTAGGAAAAAAACACAGTGAGGAGAAATGATAGAAAACCCAGTACTCCATTGGGATTGAGTAAAACATTAAGTAAAGAAAACCAACTTGGCAATATTGAGTCCTTTGAAGAACCTTGCGATGTCTTGATCTGAAGACTGCCACGGTAAGCCTCGAGCCCTGACTACAGTGTTGTCATCGATAAGTTCCATCTTGCTGCTGTGAAGGAAACAGAATTTAAGTTGTCCCATTAACGCAAGGCGATTTGGCCTGGTTAAATATGAGTATTTATTTGGAGATCACACTGGCTCACAATCCTGACTCCTTTATAAACTGAAAACATGTTTGGAGACAGTTCAAAGAACTTGTTAAGGGTATCACTATAGAAAGTTGTCTGTGTAGATCCAATATACCTAGCTCACTCAGGAAACTACCTACCAGCTGAAGAGCTGCTTGCTTGTCATAAACTCAAAAATACGTAAGATCAATTTATAGGAAGCAAAATTCTCTCAGTACCCTCATGACCTTACAAAGAACCAAGGTTGTTTTTGTTTTGCTTTGAGGCAACATTTCAATATACCGCCCAGGTTGACCTTGAATGTAAGATCCTCTGGCTCCGCCTCCCAAGTACTGGGATCACTGGCCTGAGCCACCATATCTAGACCAAGGAAGATGGATGTTAGTGCTTTCTCAGATCTGCCCAACACATACAAAGGAGTTAAATCTGGCTTGGCAGCAAGGATCATCAGAACAGAGCTGCAATTAACCCACACTGGGAATGTGTGCATGTGGTCAGAAGTCTGCCACTAAAATCTCTCCCCTGTCAAACTGGAGCACCATCACAGGGTGTTTATGGAAACACCCGGGAGTCTCCACACCTTAGTGAGTCACTTGCAAATCACCTATTATACGTTTTGACACCTTTCAATGCTGTTTCTCATGTTCATAATTTCAGTAATCCCAGGACATTTTCCTAATGAGTCACTTTCTCAACAACTAAATCAGCTTTAGTGATCTCCATTAGCAAAGCTGTGAAAAGTTTCTATTCATCATCAGGTACCAGACAATCTCATGCAACACATGACAGCAACTGATGAACATAACCATGTCTACCTATATCACAAACAGAAATACCACCCCTCAGACTCCTCTTTAGATGTCTTTGCTCTAAAATAGACACGGTAACATATCCCAGTAAAAATCAAGCGGACTTTTAAAATGTATGTGTATGTATGAGTTTATGTGCCTGTGGCTTGAGGCCAGAGGATGTCAGAACTGAAATTAAAGGCAGTTGTGAGCTGTCTGATGTGACACTGGGAACCAAACCAGTGTTTTCTTGTTCTCTTTAAAAGCAGTAAGTGCTTTTAACCACTGAGCCATCTCCCCATCTCCCTCCAGCTCCTCAAGAATTCTTTTCCTTGTTTTTTTTTTTTGGGGGGTGGGGGGCTGGCATTCACTGTGTATCCCTGGCCTGGAACTCACTATGTAGATCAGGCTGGCCTTGAACTAAGAGATTTGTCTGCTTTCTGCCTCCAGAGTCCTGGGACTAAAGGCATGTGTCACTACTCCAGGCCCTCAAGAGTTCTTTTAAAGTCTTCTACTTTTCCTTTGGAAGGGCTGGGCACATATGAAGAAACTAAAGTGAAAAATTACAAATTGAATGCAGGATGTATCTAAATCATTGAGAAGTTAAAGATCCCAATACTTCATTCAATTTTAATCTCAATTCACAAGCTCAAGCTTAAGCAACAGATAACCTAAAAATAACAGCAACAGAAAACTTTGATGAAATTACTAATATACAAAGGGATTTAAATGCCATAATATGAATAGGAACGAATTTTAAAGGTTCAAACGAATAGTGTTAATTACTCACCAAGTGCCACTTTCAAATTTGTAGTTTACTCTCTCTGGGTCTGAAAACCTGTGATCTAAAAGTGAGAACATACAAGTCATCATCTTAGCTACCAGAGAACCAAACCAGGAAAAGAAACCGAAAGTGTAGATGAGGGAAAGATAAAGGGATCAAATCCTAGCACTACATCATCACAATAATAATACTCACTGTAAGGCTCTGAGATCATTGCCAAAATTACATTCCCCATATCTTCAACTTGAGAGGCTCCATACCGAGAGACTGAACCATTCTTCTCAAAGTTTAAACCTAGGAGGCAAAGCTAAGGAAACAGTTTGGAGAGGTAAAATGAAGTTACTGCTAACCATAAATTAAACTTCTAGAGTCAAAAGGCCAGGCAAAATTCTTTAGATGACTATTTTTCATCAGCAAGGACTACATCCCCACTCCCTGATGTCCTTTACTATCAACTTTATCCTGGGGTATTACCAACAGCAAATGTGGAACTGGTCATGGATCAGCAATTCAAATGACTTCTTGTTCTAGGGACCCAGGTTTGGTCCCCAGCACCCACATGGGGGGCTGACCACCATCTGCAACTCCAACTCCAGGGTATCCAACACCCTCTTCAGATGTTTACAGGCACTGCATGCTCAGGTGCACTTACATACTTGCAGGCAAAAACTCATACACATAAATATAAAATAAAAACCAACAAAATTAATTAGAAGCCTTCACCTATCTATTATACACACAAAACAATGACCATGCAACTTAAAGATACCATGTCAGTTAAAACCAGGAGGTACTAACAAGTTATTTTGACCTACTGTTTGCAATAGATACCTCAGATTACTAATAACATTATGCTACTTTTACTCAAAACTTCTCCTCCAGAATACTTTTAGAACCCTATACGATATTGCATCTTCAATGGTAGTACACACAAACGCTAGTTCTTTTGAAAATATTTTTTATTTGGGGGCTGGAGAGATGGCTTAGCAGTCAAGAACACTGACTGCCCTTGCAGAGGACCCAGTTTCACTTCCCAGCAACCAGATGATGGCTAACAACCATACATAACTGCAGTTCTAGGAGATCTGACACCCTCATCTGACCTCTACAGGCATTGTATGGCATGGGTGCACTTACATACATGCAGGCAATACATTCACACAAATAAAAATATTTTTAAATTCTTAATTCTTTTCTATTTTATGTGTATGAGTGCTTGGCCTGCATGTATGTGTGCAACATGCATGTAATGCCCACAGAGGCCAAAAAAGAATATTGGCTCCCCTAGAATTATGGACAGCTGTTAGCCACCATATGAGTTCTGGAGAGTGAATCCAGGTCCTCTGCAAGGGCAGTCAGTGCTCTTAACCACTGAGCCATCTTTCCAGCCCCACAAATGCTAATTCTCTGAAATCAAAATTTAGCAGTAACTCAATCACTCTGAGCCAATAATAGCAAGTGTGTTTTGAGACGGGGTCTCACTACATTGCCCAGGCTGATCGGGTCTGCCTCAAGGAATCTTCCAGTGTGCTACAGCAGCCCAAGAGCTGAGAATACAGGTGCACAGCAGTTCTAATGTTTTTTGACCATGTTTTCATAAACATGTTTATGAAATAAACCAAGAAATATGTTTTCTACATTTTATTTTTATTTTGCCTTTTGTTTTAAGACAGGGTCTCCCTGTAGGCACAGCTGGCCTGGACTCACCATGGAGACCAGTTGGCCTCAAACTCAGAGATCCAACTGCCTCTGCCTCCTGAGTGCTGGGATTAAAGGCATGCACTCGCCATTTTGTATTATGTAAACCACAATAACTTTTTAAAGCATATTGTTTTTTTTGTTTGTTTGTTTTGTTTTTGTCTTTTTGAAGTAGGGTCTCCCTGGATCCCAGCTGTCCTAGAACTTACTATGTAGACCAGGCTGGCCTTGAACTCACAGAGATCTGCCTGCCTCTGCCTCCCAAGTGCTGGGACTACAGGTGTGCGCCACCTATTTGTGGGTATACATGTGATGTTTTGCTCTGAAAACTGGCATTCACTCTGAGTTCTTGTACTATGGTGCATGTATGGAGATCAGAGGACAACTTTCAGAAAATTGTTTTCTCCTTCAAACAAATTGGTCCTAGGGAGTGAATTCAGGTTGTCAGGCTCGGTGGCAGGTGCCTTGACCTGCTGGCCTACAATAAAATTTTAACAGTAAAATGCCCATCAAAGATATTACTATGAGAATGCATTTTTTCTCTATAGTTTAAGATGAAAGCACCCATCTGGGTGGTACTTATATCTGCCTTATTTTATTCAGTTTTGTAGCTAGGATTAATATTTTAAAAGTTGTTTTTATTTTATGTGCATGAGTATATCCCCTGCAAGGATTTGCACCAATGTTGTGCAAATGCCCACAGAAGTCAGAAGATGGCATCAGATCCCCTGGAACTGGAGTTATGGATGACTGTTAGTTGCCATGTGGGTGTTGGGAACTGAAGCTGGGTTCTCTGCAAGAGCAGCCAGCAATCTTAACTGCTAAGCCATCACTCCAGCCCCATAAGTAGTATTTATAAAGGTTAAAGATGTAAAAAGAAATGGCCCTTTATGTACTATTTAGTGCAGAGCAGGAGGATGCAAAGATGAAGCAATTCAGCATACTCTCACAGCCAATCAGAAGAATTAATTCCATTCTGTTTAAAACCACTTTCCATTTTCCTCAACTTCCCTTCTTTTCTCAGTAAAGATAGTAAGTAGCAAATTAGTTAATCCTACTAAACTTTAGCTCATCTATAAAGCTAAAGCCACAATAATCTTTACTCTAGGTTTTTTGTGATAATTAAATTACATTTTTAAAAAAGCCCGAACTCAGAACAGACATTTACATAAGGTATGTGTATCCCCCTCTTCCTACACTCCCAAATAACCAGAAAGCTGGAATAGTAGACCATGCCCATACTCTTGCCTCTGCATTTCTACTGACTGGTGAGAAAGAAGTGTGTGAGAGATCACAAAGTCAGTTCTAGGAGATGCTCAAGCAGGACCAATGTTGACCAACTGGGATTAAAGGCTATCATGTGCAGGAGGTACTACGTGGTATTTAGGAACCCAGCATCATCTTCAAGAATAACAAGACCGAAACCCCAGAGCCAAGAGATGAAGACACTGAAGAGAGACTGTTGGCCCATCTCAACTTTGCCACTCAACAATTGTTACCAGCTCTGTAGTTGTAATAATGTATTCAGCATTGAATGGACCCATAATGATGTAAAACTAATCCAAGGAATGGAAACCAGCCCTACTGGATGAGTCACACTTCTCAGCCTTAGTACTTGCTCGATGTGCAGGCTGCACAGTACTTTGTTGGAAGGGGAAGTTTTCTGTACACTGCAGGAGTTTCAACGGTATGTTGTCCTCTTACCCCTCATCCCATTTTTTTAAAAAATTTATTTATTACTTTTATTTTATGTGTATGAGTATATTGCTTGCATGTAGGTAAGTGCACCCATGTCATGCAATGCCCTCAGAGGACAGAAGAGGCCATCAGATCCCCTGGAACTGGAGTTATGGACAGTTGTTAGCTGCCATGTGGCCATCGGATCCCCTGGAACTGGAGTTATGGACAGTTGTTAGCTGCCATGTGGGTATTGGAATTCAAACCCGGGTCTTCTGCAAGAACCACCAGTGTTCTTAACCACTGAGCCATCTCTCTAGCCTTGCCCCCTTGCAATCCTATTTTTTTTTTTTTTTTTTTTTTTGGTTTTTTTGAGACAGGGTCTCCCTGTAGCCCCAGCTGTCCTCGAACTCACTATGTAGAGCAGGCTGGCCTTGAACTCACAGAGATCCGCCTGCCTCTGCCTCCCAAGTGCTGGAATTAAAGGCATGTACCACCACGCCCAGCACAATCCCATTTTTATGAAAACTAAACATGTATCCAGGCACGCAAAAATCACTCCAGGGTTAGGACCACTGTTGCCATTTAATAGTTCCCAACAGCTCCAACTTCACCCTTTACCATTTGTTCATTTCAAAGAGAAGGTTCTCATCCCAGAAGACATTCATTAGAAAGAGAATTTGGGAGGCTAGAAAAATGGCTCAGTGCTTAAGGATACTGGTTTCTCTTGCAGAAGACCTGGGTTCAGTTCCCAACACCCACACCACCATCTGTAATGCCAATTCAAGGGGATCCAAAGCCCTCTTCAGGCCTCCACAGGCATTGCATACACATGAAACACTCATACACATAAAAAATACATTTTTAAAAGGAAAGATTTGAGAAAATTACCCAAGGAAGCACTGAATAAAGACCAGCATGATGCTGGGTCAAGATGGGATGTAAAAGCCTATGGGCTAATACATATGGGAAACCTACAGACAAGCATGTATTTCCAGTAAAGTTGGTCCTGGCTCCACAGATCATGGAGCCAGAATAAAGAACAGATTTTACATTGTTAAAGGAACAAAAAAAAAGACATACTATGTGAAAAATAGACCCTAAATTTCAGTTATTTGGCCATTTGCTGACTGCTGACCTAAGGAATGGAGGTCACCAAAAGATAGGCCAAATACAGATATGTACATAGCATGCTTACCACATCCTCCTAACTTTCCATCCTGGGACAGAATTCTTGAGAAGGGTAAGTTAGGTTTGGAGAAATAGGGAGGATAAAAAGATACTTTATTCAAATGGCTCATGTTTCTCTTCTATAAATGCTCAACTACATTCTCTATAACGTACTTTTACTGTCTTAACTCCTTTTCCAACATGAAAACCACCACCTGCAGCAAGGCCTTCCCTAGCTGCTCCAGACCGGAAGCAGCAACTGTGTCAGAAATACTCCCTCTAGAAAACTGCATTCTTCGTAAGCGTATTACACATTTCCCAAGCATGGACTTCACCCTCCTTTGATCACTTTCACTCATCCTCAACTTTTGTCCTCTGGAACTATACTGTACTAATGCTGAGTAAACAAAGATGGAAATGGACTGTATCCTCAGGGTGTGCACAGCCTACCTGAGAGACTTGAAGTTGTTGAGTTCCTTCAGAGGTCTGCAGGAGAGTACAGGTGCTGGCATCCTAGCTATTTATGTATAGGTTTGCAGTCTGCCTCCAAGCTCCAGGAAAAATCAGGAAGCACTATCCCTGCAGCCTCCTGCTCGAATCATGAAAAAGAGGCAGAAACAGACTTCAACCACATGAAGGTGGGTCCACCTACAGAGGACCCCATCAGAAGAGACAGATTCAGATTGTTGGTTTCATGCTCAGGTTTGGTATTTCCTAATCCTAACTCCTAATGATTTAAAAATTTTTAT